TACAAAAATTATAGGTACAGTGTACCTCACAAAGGAAGTGGGTATTTCTGCATATAACATGTCAATATTGGTGCTACGAAACTGGGTACATGTATATAAAATGGTACAATTTTGTGGCCTATAGCACTATTATTATTAATCATCCGAAGACATCATGCAGTCAATAATCATGTACATGTACCTTTCTCTGACATGTGACAGTAGCATATCCATTAGGACAAAAGCCCATTATACTATTACCAGAACAAATAAGATTACTGAAAGAGCACCAGAACAGCTAAATCGATTTGATATAGTATCACTAGAATGTAGAGTAGGAGGAGGAACAGTAACACCAGAAGGAGCTCCATTAAACCCACCTAATAATAAAGTGAGAAATTGTAAAATGTTTATTCATACATAGGAAGAATTAGTAAAATAATGGTAAAGAAACAGCCAACAGTTTTAAAAATGATATTACTGCAATTAAAACAAAGGAAGTGATGTAATTTAACCTAATCCAATTATTGTATATGTACAAATAGCTATTATTTCTAATGGCCCCATGTTCACACTGTTGCATATTGGAACATAGTTACCACTAGAGCTGCAGGTAACAGGATGACCAGTTAGGTAATAGCCACCAGAAGGAATGGTTGTATTAACTGGATTACTTAGCATCACTGTCGATTGTGAGTAGCATTCTGGAATATTGTTAAACATGTTACATGTATATAATATCATACAGCAAATTAGTGGGAATTTTAAACTTACGTATCACACATTTGACTGCTAATAGTCCTCCATAAGAATCACAGTTAGAAACTTGAGTACCAGGACAAGTGTCAATACCACTTGAACAATCAACACTATAAGCAACAGAATTGAACACGAAGGTGGAATAGTCTGTGGTTAAGAAACCAGTTGCTTGTAGATTAGCTATAAAAGTATAATAATTATAACATTAACAGGTTACACTATAGCTTTACAAGAAGGATCATGGAATATATTCTGGCACAGTAAGTTAGCAGTATCATTAGTGACTCCATTAGCACACACATCACCAGTTATTGAGTTATAAGTCGCTTGTACTTGAAATACAACAGTTAAGGTGAAGTTGTCATTTTCATAATCAATGACATTGTTGTAGTCAAAATTTTGACAGTTAACATAACCTACAGTAGAAAGGAAGGATGGGTATTACTAGTAACAGTTTTAATCATTATAAGATTACAATTTACTAGAAAGAGAAACAGAATTGGTATATCTCCAGCTGCCTTCATTGTACAGATGTTTTTCCTCTGAGCAACTGTGTGTGCTAAGTCCTAAGTAATGCTTTTTATAATGAACTACCACTGATTAGCTCAGAGCTCTGGGGAGCTTCCCACGTATAGCCATACAGAATGGCAGGATATTGATATAACATGTTTTTCATCAAGAAATGATAATGTAACTCGGGAAAGAGTACATGATGGGACATGATGGGTCTAGCCCATCATGTGCTCTTCGGCCAGTTCGGGGTCTTTCTGACCCTTTCTTGCACTATAACCTAAAAAATAAATATTTCATTTATCTTATTTATCAATAAGTTCTATTTTGTCTATTCTATTTATATTTTCTTGACATCAGCAAAATTACACTTGAAGTTTGAATAAAACAGTACTTTCACTGACCTAGTTGTTGGGGTTACTTTGACCCTACCAGTGCTATTCTGAACCTCCCAATACTAACTATATACAGGAAAATTGATGTAGCGACTAGATGATAATACGTGAAATGCTAATGAACACAAATTTTTAGCCTAAATTGCATAGCCGCACTTTATAAAGATGAAGCTGTTATGTAGTGCTGGTAGTTAGACAATTCTGTGCTGAATAGACATGTATTTGTTTTAGTCCTGTATGGTCTAATTGGGCACATTCGTTTATACAGGGGAACGGAATAGGCCCGATTGACTCTAATTGCTCGAGTTGCTACATAGTCTACATGTACATCACAATGCATTACTCTATGGGCTTACCTCAACACAGGCTTTAGCAACCTTGCTTGATAACAACGGTGGGCTATACAATTACTTCAGGGGGAGGGTTCCGCTCTTATGACTGACCTATTCCTCAGAAAGAATGTCAATTAGCTCTGTGCAGTGTGTACTAGGATAATAAGATCATGCTATGATAATAATAGCTTATCAAAAAAATATCCGGAGGACATTAGAATGTAGCTAGATTCGACTAATCTGTTATTTTACTTACCTTAGCACAGTTAGTCTGGCGCAGTCCCCAAAAACTAAAGCCCGAAGACCGATCCCATTGAGGACGCCATAGGAGGAATCTGAACGAATGATGATTGATCAATTAGACATTAGACAATGAGTCATGAGTGACCGTCTGACCGATTATAATAGTTTGTGTGGCCTCTCGTCAATGAATATTATTAAGTTGATTATAAGCTCACTATTATTTAATATTACTGATCACCCTTGGAGGAAATACAGAAACAATGTAGTGATTTTGCCTATTCAGTCTGCCAGCTCATTTCATTGCTAATGGTACAGTGATGGGAACGGTCTATAAGTTTAATTATTCTAAAAATCAATTTTAAAAATTGAAGCAAAAAAAACAATCAATCACAAATAATAATTAGGAGTAGCAAATTTAATGTGAGTGACAAATAATAAAATAGTTAATGTGGCAAACCGAATAGAGATAAAGATCATTCTTGACTCCTGCCAGTCACTTATACTAGGTTAGTATTGGATGCCACACTAGTATCTGATGTTACACTAGTTCTGGACATCTTTCTGTATTCCGCAGCTGGCCGACTGCCAGCCTTCTTTTTCATTATCAGAAACACAGCCATCAGCAAAATGAGAATGACAAAAGCTACTCCTATTATCACTGGAACGCCAATACCCACAGTGAGACCAATGATAAGGGCAGCAGAAGTAGTAGGGGATGAAGTTACTAACACTGTGGTACTACT